TAGAATCTACAGGTGGATACTGAGATAAGCAAACATGGAGCCGGTCCTCAGGAAGCTTATATTCTAACGTGGGATGGTACAAGACAGCTTCTCAACCCCTGTGCTTGACTGTGTCATAGGTGTGTCCCAGCTCCCAGTGTAACTGAGCCAGTGGCAGAGGCTCAGAACAGCTTTCTCTCTCAGTGCTTTACAAATATCATTTTCTATTTGTGTCATGACAAGGAAAAGGGTGAAAAACACTGGAGGTGGCAACAAAACACACACCAAATTACTATAATAAAATGCAGACAGTGATGCATCAAAAAAAGATCGGATTATTAAGGTGGGTGTTTATAGAGGAGGGAGGCCTTAAATCTAGAAATTCTAGAAAAATTACAAGAGGTCACATTTGGAGTGAACATGGGAAGATGAGTAGGATTTGAATGTGCAGAGAGGGAGGGGCAATGATGGAGAATATTCCAGGTGTAAGGCACAGGTAGGATTGGGAATAGGATTGGGATGAAGAATACTGAGTTCAACTGGGTTAGAGCAGAGGATGAGTGAAGAGGCATAATGGGAGCTAAAGTCAGAAAGAAAGGTTGGGTGCATGTGGAATATATCAACTTGCACATTTGTATATTTATCATGTGATATTAATTGATATTCATGACAATTCTAAGGTACTACAAAATTCAAGGTGCCTTGTAAATTGCCAAAGTTTAAACAATATTTAGTAAGATTCTAATGCTAAGTAAGTTAACTGTATTTTAGTTGCAAGCATAGTATGAAGTTGCATCTTTTGTTGAAAGTGAGTTGGATGGTAAGGGGTGTGGGTATGAATTAAAGTCATTGATAAAGCAAAAATTACCATGTTAAAAGTACTCTTGAAAATTGCTTAAATTGCCCATAAGGTTTTTTTTTTGTTTTTTTTTTTTTGCGGTACGCGGGCCTCTCACTGTTGTGGCCTCTCCCGTTGCGGAGCACAGGCTCCGGACGTGCAGGCTCAGCGGCCATGGCTCACGGGCCCAGCCGCTCCGCGGCATGTGGGATCTTCCCAGACCGGGGCACGAACCCGTGTCCCCTGCATCGGTAGGCGGACTCGCAACCACTGCACCACCCATAAAGTCTTTTAAGCATGGTTTTATAAATACTACCTTGTGCAATAACTGTTGGGAGCACTAAGTTCTGAGAATTATTAAGATAATTAAAAGAACAAAAAGGTGGGGAAGGAGTCTTTAGAGAGATGTCTGGGCATTTAAGCTATTCTACGTGTTAAATGGTTATCAAATTCCTAAGTAGTGAATGGTTGATAAGCAGAGAATTCTAGTGTTACTGTTTGCCTGCAGAGTTCACTCCTTTTGGTTTGATGTAAGGTCTCTATAATCTTAATATATATGAACAGATTGTTTGGTAATGGTGTATGTGTGTGGTGGCAGGAGCCACTAAAGCAGAAAGTGGAAAGGTTTAAGTACTAAAGCCAGGGAACACTATGTGTAAGTTTAAAATGATATCATAAGATAATAGAAACAAATGGAATTTTGTGTTGATAACAGAACTCTCTTGATTGAAAGTAGAAGTTCACTTGAGCTAGCTTAAGCAATTAAAGAAAATGCAGGGTGAGAGCTGGGGTAGGGTGGGGGATTAGGAGGCTTTGGGGTTTAACCAGACCTAAGTGGTTAATGCTAAGCCACTCTAGGGTTAAACTAAGCCTCAGGAATGAGCTGGAACCAGGAATTTGAATGTGCTGCAAACTCTGTTTCTTTTTTGTGCATCTAATCATTCTCACCTACCTCTCTTTCTATCATGGCTTTTCATTTTATATTCTAAAGGCTGAAGGTCTCTAATAAGGGTAGGGATTACTGCTGCTATTTCACCACTATTTCAGAGACAGGTAGTAGAGAGAAATGCTATTAAAGGAAGTATATATTCCTTGTCTACTAAGAGGTTTTACTTGTTTTAAATCAAGAATTACTAGCTCTTTATTTTCCTTTTTTATTATGGTGTAACTCACACAAAGTATATACACAAATCTTAGGTGTACAGCTCGATGAATTTTCACATATGTAATCACAACGGTTCAATACACAGAAACTTTCCAGCACCCCAGAAAGCTACTTATGCTCTCTCCCAGTTAATCCCACATTAAAGGTAACCACTATTATCACTTTATTTTTAACCTTTCTTTATCTCAGTTCACAAGATTGTTGGAATGTTAGAATGCACAAAGATAGAATGCATTCAGAACTGCAGTAGATATTTCAATAGTTCATATGCTAGAGAAAGAACTTAGTGAAGGTAGTGGCTTTACATATTTTTTGAACATGACCTACAGTAAAAAAAACAAAAAACAAAACCCCATATTTTTTTAACAACATGGCCTAGGATATACATACAATCATCTCTCCACAATTTCAAGTGGGATCATGAGCAGCATGGCTTCCTCTGATTCAAGGGTCTATGGAGTCAAAAACACAGCCACCAGGAGCTCTGCTGTGAGCATCTTCTCCATTCAAGAAACAAGCCATATTAAAGCTAGAATCCTAGTCCCAATCTCAGATTCCTGGAACAGGTATCTTATTGTTCCAGCTTGGGTCAGGGGTCTGCTCCTGGACCAATTCACTATGGTCAGGAGCATGGGTTCATGCCTGTATAAAATGGCTGCCAGAGGCTCATAACTGATAGCCTGCAGATCCGGTGGGGAGAAGCAGTTCCCAGAAGAGGAATGGACCAGGAAGACAACCTAGGAGGTCTATATTATTGCACCAAATCTGAATTTGATTCTCAGGTTCTCCATATACTTGCTCTATAATACTGGAAAATTATGTCTTAATTCATAGAGTGAATATATATTGTTTCCTTAGCCTGTTCCAAGAATGTGCTACTTTCTAAGCAAATGATAATATACACCTTTCCTCAAGAAAGAGCCTTATTCAGGTATAACTGATATACCATAAACAATATCCATATTTAAAGTGTATAATTTGGTAAGTTTTAACATATATATACACCCATGCAACCAGTACCACAAGCAAGATGATGAACATATCCATTATCCCGAGTTTCCTCGTGCCTCTTGGAAATCCCTCCCTTCACCCCTACTCCATTTAGCTATTATCCTTAATTCTTCAGATAGCTCCCACAATTCCTTACAGACACAAATTAGATTCTGCTATTTGAAAGTGATCTTTTCTCCCATTACAATTTTAAATAGGTGATCGCTGTTTAGGAAAGCTATTGCTCTAGCCATTTTACTGAACGTGTTTCAATTCATTCCTTGGGTTTTCCAAGTAAGCAATCATAGTATCCAAAAAGAATATTTTTCTTTTTCTCCATTTATTTATTTATTACTGTTTGTTTTGTTTGGCCTTCCTGGTTCAGTTAGGACCTCAGGAAAATGTTGGCTAGTAGCAGCAGGCCTGCTCCTAACAATTTCAGTGCCCAGGCAAGAGTACAAAAAGAGGTCCACACACCATATATCTAAATATTTAAAGATTATAAAGCTAACAAACTGTTAGATTAAAACGTTCTATTTAGCTACCTTGAACACACCTAACTTATAGCAAACATATGTATAATAACCTAGAAGGCTAGGTTCAAGTTTAGAATCCTTGAGTGTCACATCTCCCTAGTGTACTTGAGGTAGATTTTTTCAGAGCTTAACTTGAATGACCTTTACTTCAAAAGCTCTTGTTTTGGGGCTTCCCTGGTGGTGCAGTGGTTGAGAGTCCGCCTGCCGATGCAGGGGGCACGGGTTCGTGCCCCCGCGGCATGGGCCCGTGAGCCATGGCCGCTGAGCCTGCGCGTCCGGAGCCTGTGCTTCGCAACGGGAGAGGCCACAACAGTAAGCCCTTGTCTTGCATAAAAATTTTTTCCCATGGTATTGGCTAATACTTTAATTTTTCTCCTTAGAATTAAAATCTTATAAACACCTCATTCCTAGAGTAAAAGAAATCAGCACTCATTATACTCACAAAGAAAATCCAAAACGCTTAGCAGATTTTATGCTTTATTTTAGAAATTACCTTTCAAGGCAATTCTTACAGACCCCTAATATTCATTGGCCCACAATTTCTACCCCTACTCGCACTCCACTGGAAGACCCTAAGAGCTGAGTTTCCTTAGCTATGGCTTGAATACCCTTATGACTTCTAAGGATAGTACCATCAGTGGATACGTTCTGAGCAAGTCATCTGAATATTCACAAACGCATATTAAAAAGGCTGGATCTGGAAGTCAGGCCATCCAGGGAGGAGGACTTGTGACCTGGACAGGGCTTCAAAGCCAACCAACTGCTTGTTCATTGGTATCAGCTGGAAGAACTTGAAAAGGGAATTAGGAAACCCAGTTGAAGTTCCAACTGTGTCACTACATGGCTGAACTGCTAGTGAGTCACTAGAACTCTTTGTTGAGCCTTAGCATCATTATCTATAAAATTGGGATAAGGATACTGGCACTGGGTTGACACTGGTTCAACCCGTTTTTGGGAAAAAGCCCAACTTGTCTGAGTTTCAGTTTCTGTGCCTGTTACAATTAAGACTTGTGCCGTCTACCTCAGAGGGGGGTGTAGATGGAGAAGGCACAACCTCTGTGAGCTTCAGTTTCTACAGGTGTAAAGAGGTAAGAACACCCGGCCAGCCCACCAATAAAATTCCTAGAAGAACAGAGGAAAATGGACAAAAAAGTTGCAAAATGTAGTGGGCTATACAGATGTGAATTGTCTCACACTTAAAACTCAACGAACTGACAGACTTAAAGGGCATTTGTGCGTCTCCTTCCTCTTAGCTCCCTTGTTACAACCCCACAACATAAATCAATACCACTTAGTAAGACGGTCCAGAGCGGCGACCGCGTCTGTACACACAGAGGCGCCAGCCACACCCCTCGAGGCCGGAACTGGGCGGGAGGGGGCGTGGCGCAGCCCAGCCCGCCTATCGCGACGCCCCGTCCCGTCGCGCCCGCGCCTGCGCCGTGCGTACCCACCGGCCTCGAACGTCCCGGCGGGAGGTAAGGGGATCGCGATAGGCCCCCACGGGGGCGTAAGGCCCTGGCTGGCGTCGTGGGCCGGGTGCCAGCCCCGCGCGCGGGAGGGGCGCCCCGCAGGAAGCAGGGCATCAGGTTGTAAGTGCGAACGCTGTGGGAGTTCTTCTCGGCTTGAAGAAGTGGTGGTTTCGGTTTTGGAGGTGCTTTCGAAGCGGATATAGGGAGGCGGCCGACCGGGCGAGCTTGACGGCCTCCCGGGGTCTCAGGGTGGAAAAGTTTACTTCGTCTGCCCTGCGTGTGACGCACCGTGGGTCTTAGGTCATCAGGGTCGCCGGCGTCTCGGTCTGGAGAGGGTCCAGCGCACCCGTTCGGGGGCGGGGGTTGGGGGAGGTGGCGTTTGGTTTATGTGGCCCAGGTGCGCGGTGGGTGACGCTGCGAGGGATGACGCGAGGCTCGAGGGTGTTTAGGGGAGGTCCTGGGGCGCGAGGGGGGAGCCTCCTGTCAGCCATACCAGGGAGGGTGGTTCGCAGAAGGCCCCACGTCTGTCTCCCCTTTTTTTACAATTCGGAATCGGAGGCTCAGAGAGCAGACCGTACGGTAGGTAGGTCCGAGGGCCTTGACTTTTCTTTCCAAATTCAGTACCCCTTGCCCCAGTGAGAAACACGGGGCGACGTGCCTGAGGGAATTCGGTGCCCCAGGTGTGGGGAAATGTGGAAAGGTGTTCATAACATTTTTGGAAGGGGGCGTTGCCAGCGGTATTGGACTTTTCATGAGAAATGGGGCTGTTCACTTATAAATAACCTTAAGTAATTTGGTTAACCTCCCAGTACTTTTTCCTTATTGGAAACGTGAGTAGTATGGTACTCAGCTGGTAATAGTTGTAAGCACTAAAGGTAGTTTGTAAAGCACCTGGCACCCGCCCCGCCCACCCCAAGTGTTAGTGCAGTGAATATGATTGCAATTCTTTGACCTCAAAATATTTGTCCTGTCTTATGGGAAACATCAGTTTACACATTATTTTAAGAGACTTTTTATTTTGAAATATTTTACAATTACAGAAAAGTTACAAAAGTAATACAGAGTTCTCTACAATTTCCTTTAATGTTAACATCTTACATAACTATAATGCAATTATCAAAAGTAAGAAATTAACTTCAGCACAACGCTGTTAACTAAATCACCAACTTTCTTCAGATTTCATCGTTTTTTATACTAAAGTCCTTTTTCTGTTCCACGATTCAATCTAAGATCCCACGTTGCATTTAGTTGGTATGGCTCCTTAATCTTCTCCAGTCTGTGACAACTTCTAAGTCTTTTCCTGTCTTTCATGACCGTTACACTTTGGAAGAGTCCTGGTTAGTTGTTTTGTAGAGTGTCCTTCAATTGGGTTTTGTCTGATGTTTTCTCAAGATTAGAGTAAGGTTGTGTACTTTTGTTGATACCACAGAAGTGTATATGCCCTTCTCAGTAGTTCATATGAGGGGTACATTATATGACACACTGCATTTGATATTGCTCTTGATCACTTGGTTAAGGTGGTGTTGGCTGGGATTCTCTAATGTAAAGTAACTATTTTTCCCTTTGTAATTAATCAGTATCTTGGGGGAGAACTACTTTTAAACAATGCAAATATTCCTGTTTCTCCTCAAACTTTAATTTGTTGATTTTAGCATCCATTGATGATCTTGCCTTCAGTAATTATTACTGTAATGTTCTAATGGTGGTTTTCTGTTTCCCTCATTCCTTCGTAATTTACTAATTGGAGTTTTTCTGTAAGGAAGAGCTGCATCTTCATCCCATTTATTTATTTATTGTTAATTTTTTGTATCTGTATGGACTCATTTATTTTTCTATTGGTTATTTTCCTACACTTTCGTTATTTGTTTTATGTCTCAAATTGTTCCAGCTTCGTCCATTTCAAGTTTTTTCAGGTTGCTTCCTGTGCCCTTTTTATAGGCTCTCATCCTTTTTTGAGAACTTCCTTGCTTTTTGGATGCTCCAAGCTTCTCTTGCATTTTCCCTGCCCTGGAATCCACCATTTCTCCAAAGACCCCTGCTTTCTTTGTTTGGAGAGTAGTATTTAAACACCAAGGATCTGGGCGCTAGGTGTGCTCATTGCTGCTGGGTTATCATTACTTCCAGTGCCTGGCAGAAGACACCTTAGAAGCGTGTGTGTGTGTGTGTGTGTGTGTGAGTGTATGTATATATTTCTAGCTGTGTATACAGTTGTCCCTTGGTATCCACAGAGAATGGTTCTAGGACCTGCAGTGGATAGCAAAACCCGAAGCCACTTAGGTCCCATAGTTGGCCCTTTGTATCTGCGGTTGCATATCCACGGATTCAACTCACTGTGGATCATGTAGTATTTATTGAAAAAAATTCACTGTAAGTGGACCCTCTCAGTTCAAATCCATATTGTTCAAGGGTCAACTGTAAATCCATATATTTCATGGAGATACAGGCACACATATGTGTATATTCATGCATCTGCAAAGATTTATATTTATTTTTGTGTTTATCTGTATATATATATATATACACACACATGTATTTTAGATATATGTCTGTGTATATATATATATATATATATATTTTCTAAACTAAAGTTTATCCTGATACTTCTGTTTCTAATACAGTACCACAGGGTTCATTCTAGTCTTGCCTCTTACTTGTAACTTCTTTCTTCAACAGTGAGAAATCTGGCTTTTGTGTTCTACAAAATATTTCCTTATTTGTTCAGTCCTAGTATACACATAAAGTAATTTCAGGATTTCTAACCCATAGTCCTATGAGAAATAAATTTACTAACTAGAGTACAGTATAGTTGTGTGTAATTCTTTTTGTCTTTAGCCTTATAGTATCCAGTTTAGTATCTAGGATCCCATATCTAGACACTAGTATCGAGTATCCAGCATCTGTTTTCCAAAGTTACCTAGATTAGTTATTTTCTTCCCCTACTTCTTTCATTGTGGTTATGTTGTTCATTTGTAATACAGTTAATTTTATTTTTTATAGTTTGTATTTCATTTTGGGTTCCCCCACATCTCGTTGTTTTTGTTTTTTAATATACAAAAATGCACCTTTTGTGGTGTACAGTTCTGTGAATTTTGATAAATGCATATAATTGTTTATCCACCACCATTCTCATGATACAAACAATTCTGTCGCCCCAAATGTTCCATTACACTAGAAAAATAAAGTTAAAAGTAATACAACAACTTTACAGAAGTTTGAGAAATTAGGCATTTTTGTGTGTTTTCTCTTGTTTTTTCATAGACATATTTTAAATACCTGTGATGTTAATGTAAATGTATTTTTTAATCCTATGTTTGAATTATATCAGAAATAATTCCCAGTTTTCTGTCTTAAAAATCAAGAAATGCTGAAATACATTTTCAACTGATTATTTAATCACACTTTTAAACCACAATTTCTATATTGAATTACGACCTTCCCTTAATAGCTTATAAACGTTATTTGAGCTATTTTATGATCAGAGGCACTGTTGGATGACTTTGTTTCAGTAACATCATACTTTAATGCAACTATTCGAATGCTGTGTTCCCTTCTTAGTTTTATATGGGTAATTTATTATGATTTTATAGAAATGGAAATGGTGGAGAGAAAAAAAAATACTCTCTAGAAGTAGACCAAGAGTTGGGAAAGTCTTGGGAGGGTCTTAGGTCAGAATGTCTTCCCCTAGAGATGGCCCTTGTGAGGCAGCAGGTTATTCCTTGAGCACAAAAAGCTGAGGGGCAGAGTCATGCACTCTGACCTGGAAATATTACTTTTTGAATTCAAAAAAGAGAGCTATCATCATAGCATAGGGGAGCAGTGAAAACAAGCCAAATAGTCAATAATTGGGGTTTGTCAAGTACACCATAAACTGATTAGTGGAAGAGAAGGCAGAATCATTTGAGTTGTATCTCAAATGATACATAAAGTTGAGAGGCAGATGGGATATAAAAGAGCATCTAGACAGAGGGAGCATCTTGCAAGCCAAAAGCAGAGATTGGGTGATGATATTTCAGTAGGTTGGGTGGATTACTTATGAACATTTTATTTTCTTGTTCAGATAATAGGGAACCTTAGAAGTTTTTATTCAGAGGAGGAGCATGTTGCCTTTGGTGTTTTAGATATATTCTTTGGTGGTAATCTATGGGGAAAAATTGGAGAGGGGAAAGAGTCTAAACACAGGCCAAATAAGACACTTGTAATGTGCTATGCATATTGTGCTGTTTGACTAGAGTGATAGGATTGGAAATAGTGTAGAAGAGACATGTGAAGAAATGTTTTAGTTCCATTAGCATTTGTTGAATACCAGGTATGTTAAAAAACATTTTGATAGGAATAGTAATAGATATAAAGATAGCTTCTTATATAATCTGCATAGTGGAAGAAAACACAAGAGGCAATGTGACAAACTGGGAACATTAGTGTTAGGGAAATATTGATAATTTATGAGACTATTATATGTTAATATAATAAGAGAAAGACAGTCCCTGTAGCACGAGCAGGCAATTGATGAAAGAAGAAATGCAAATAGAGAATAAGTCAATCTCATTAGTAATATAAAGAATGCAAAATAAAACAATAATGAGATACCATTTTTGTCACCAGTTGAATGTCTTAAGAAGAATGATAATATCAGGTATTGGTTGGAGTATGGATAAATGGACATTTTAAAGTTTTTTAAATTGAAGTATAGTTGACATACAATACTGTATTTATCTCCACTATACAACATAATGATTTGACATTTTTATACATTATGAATTTATCACCATGATATCTAGTAACCATCTATCATCCTACAAAGTCATTACAATATTATCAACTATATTCCGTATGCTGTACCTTACATCTCTGTGAGTTGTTTATTTTATAACTGGAAATGTGCACCCCTTACACCCCTTCACGCATTTCACTCACCATGCCGCCTCCGTTCTGGTGACCACCAGATTATTCTCTGTATCTGTGGATCTGTTTCTGTTCTGTTTTGTTTTTTAAATTCCACGTGTACATGAAATCATACGGCATTTGTCTTTCTTTGGCTTATTTCACTTAGCATAATACCAGATTATTCTCTGTATCTGTGGATCTGTTTCTGTTCTGTTTTGTTTTTTAAATTCCACGTGTACATGAAATCATACGGCATTTGTCTTTCTTTGGCTTATTTCACTTAGCATAATACCCTCTAGGTCCATCCATGTTGTTGCAAATGGCAAGATTTCATTCTTTTTCATGGCTGAGTAATAGTCCATTGTGTGTGTGTGTATGTGTGTGTGTGTGTGTGTGTGTTTATGTATGTATGTATATGTATCACATCTTCTTTAGCCATTCATCTATCTTTGAGCACTTAAAGGTTGCTTCCATATCTTGCTAATGTGAATAATGCTCTATGAACATAGGGGTGTATATATCTTTTCAGTTAGTGTTTTCATTTTCTTCAGATAAATACCAGAATTGGAATTGGTGGATCATATGATAGTTCTGTTTTTAATTTTTTGAGGAACCTCCGTACTGTTTTTCATAGTGGTTGCACCAGTTTACATTCCCACCACATGCACGTGGGTTCCCTTTTCTCCACATCCTTGCCAGCAACCAACACTTGAAATTTCTTGTCTTTTTGATGATAGCCATTCTGACAGGTGTGAGGTGATAGCTCATTGTGGTTTTGATTTGCATTTTCCTGATTATTAGAGATGTTGATCATCTTTTCATGTGTCTGTTTCCCATCTGTCTGTCTTTCCTGGAAAAATGTTCAGATCCTCTACCCAGTTTTTGATTGGATTGTTTATTTTTTTGATATTGAGTTGTGTGAATTCTTTGTATATTTTGAATATTAATGCCTTATCAGATATATCATTTCCAAATATCTTTTCTCATTTAATAGGTTACCTTTTTGTTTTGTTGATGGGTTCCTTCACTGAGAAAGCTTTTTATTTTGATGTAGTCCTATTTCTTTGTTTGCTTTTGTTGCCCTTGCCTGAGGAGACAGATCCAAAAACATATTGTTAAGACCAGTGTCAAAGAGTATACTGCCTGTGTTTTCTTCTAGGAGTTTTATGGCTTCAGGTCTCACATTTAAGTCTTTAATCCAGATAAGTGGACATTTTGATAGGTTGCTAGTGGGAATGTAAATAGGCACAGCCTTTTTTGGGACATTTAGAATCAGAAGCCTTAAAAAATGTATGTACCTATTAATTCTATTTCCAGGTATTTACTTTAAATAAATAATCATAGATGGTAGTATGGATTTGTGTGAAAGAAGAGTAATTACACTGTGGTTTAGTTTATAATAGTGGAAAATTGGAAACATCCTGAGTGGCCAACATTAGATGATTAAATTATCGAACATCTGTACAATGTGATACCATGCTGCTATAAAAATACATTATAGAAAAATAATAATTTACATGGAAACATTTTTATTATATTTGATCAGGTTATTCACAATAAATCTTTTATTTGTTCTTCATTGCTTCCTTTATTCACCCAGTAACAGTATACTTTATTATATTTTTTTGCTCCTTGCCATTCCTTTCTTTTGGGTTTATTTTCTTTATTGTTAAAGCATGCCTTTTAGTAGTTCTTTTAATGAAGGACTTGGTAATAAACTCAGTCTTTGTATGTCTGAAAATGATTATTTTACCTTCACTTCTGAATAATAATTAACCTGGGTATATACCAACTCAGCACTTTGAAGATATTCCTATCTTTTGATATGTTGCTTTGATGAAAAGTTTACTGCTTTTGTTGTTTTAGTTTATCTGTCTTTTATCTCCGGTTTGCTTTTTAAGATATTTTTTCTTTGTCCCTAATGTTCTGAAATTTCCCTTCCATGTGTTTAGGTAAATTTGTTTTTTATTTATGCTACTTAGTGTTTATGTGCATTTTCAGTTTGAGGCTTTACATCTTAATTCTCAGCATATTCTCTTTGAATAGTGCCTTTTTGCCATTTTATTTATTCTTTCCTTATGGGACTCCTACTTGTTATTGAGCTTGTCATTTTATCCTTAATGTTGCTTATCTTCTTTTTATGTGTCCTTATTCCTCTGTGTTCATACTGATAGCTTCCAATCAATAATTGTCTTTTCAGCTACAAAATTTACTGTTTAACCCATCTTTGGAGGTTTTTATTTGTAGAATTTTTACTTGGTTTATTTTCAGATTGACCTGTTACTGTTTCATAATATTATCTAATTTTTTTTAAGATTCTGTTTCTTTCTTTATATCTTTATTTTGAAATGTACCTATTTTAATTTTATTTTTAGGTTACTTTATTATTTCTAGTCCCTTAGCTGTAAATTTTCCCATTTTGTTGGGTCTGTGGACCAATCTTTTGGCGGTGAACTTCCCCATCATCTCTAATTCCCACTAACTACTGTAGCTGTTAGACTCTTTATTTTTGGTGTCTGGAGATTTTCCTTTTTTGCTTTCAAGCTTAGATTAACTGTAAAGACCAAGTTACTGGTAGATGAGATAATCTGTATAACCAACACTTCAAGATTTTCAACTGTGAAAGAGAGAAACAACATTATTTAGAATAATAGTTCTTAATGATTCTGGAGTGATAGAGCTTTTTGATAATTTCTTGAAAGCAAAGGACTCTGTCTTCTGAAATAATTCAAAAATATATTCATAATTTTTTGTAAACAAACATTCAGGAACTCTCAAGTCCCAACCCTCTATCTCTATGGACCCAAGTCTAAGATACCATAACCCAATGGAATTAACATAGTCAACTTATTTTTAATATGGGAGAGGTTATGGCTAATTAGATGGCATGAAAACATGATGTACAACAGTGGTTTTCAAGCTTGCTTAAGCAGTGGAGCCCTTTATTTACAGAAAATCGAATAAGTTCAAATTTATGAAATAGATATAAGTAAATTTTCTCCAACTGAAGCAGGTGTGGGGTCCTGGAGCCTGTCCACTTGATAACCGTTACCATCACCTACCCTGACCCCAAAGACATAACCCTGGACTCTCTGGAGCACTGCTCAAAAAAAAAACTACTGGTGAATTAGAAAGAGCATTTGATTGAACTCTCAGGAATACTGGGTTCTTATTCCAGCTCTGTCACTGGTTATGTGTACTGATTGTAGACAATGCTAATCACTTTGTAAGAAAGGGAAGATGCAATTTAAAGGACATCAATGAGAAAAGTTGCATTTTATAATATATTTGAAGTATATAATTACATATGTTATATTAGAAATGGAGTTTTTACAGCAGAAATATTAAGAATGAAATTTTTTCTTCCAATTTTGCCATTTGACACTTTTTTAGAAAACATTATTCACTGTCCAGGATACATTGGGAGATAAAGACTTGAACAGTATACTTCTGGTTTTTTGAAAAAAGTTAGTTAATTATATGCATACATATATATATCCTTATATTAAAAAGCCCTGGAAAGACATACATCAAAATGGAAGTACGGGGGTGGGAGGGGGAAAATGGAAAGAGTAGTTAACTATAGGTGAGGAGATGATTGTTGATTTTATTTTATTCTCTTTTTCCTATTTTCTAATCATTCTAAAGTGAATATACATTACCTTTGTAGAGAGAAAAAGATTTTAAAATAAAAGTTTTGTTAAAAAACCAGTCACTGAAGTTCAGCATTAAGTTGAGTATGTGTTTAGAATATATTATAAAATTACCTAATTGTTGGCTTTTAAAAATAATGGAAATTGATTTTTAAAATTCTTAAATAAATATTTCCCTTTTAGGTTTTTCTACATGAGTGGAGAAGGTAGATGTTGCAAGTAGAAGAGATACAACATTTTTTTAGGATGTCTGAAGATGAAGAAAAAGTGAAATTACGCCGTCTTGAACCAGCTATTCAGAAATTTACTAAGATAGTAATCCCAACAGACCTGGAGAGGTTAAGAAAGCACCAGATAAATATTGAGAAGGTGAGTTTTTTTCTTTCTTTCTTTTTTTCCATTTTTTTCTTTTTTTACCACAAGAAACAGTTACATATTCTGATTTATATGTTGTGCATTTCACCTACATTGAGAATATTAGATAAGAGTCTTTGCTAAAACATCTAGCTCCTGTTGATTTAACAACATTATTCATTTTTTCATCTGGTTTTTCTGTTCTACAAATACCCCTCTCACATTATTCCTTTTTTAGGAAGGGATATAAGAATAGAATCAATGCCTTTTTAGTTATACACAGTGATGAATTGAGCAGTTAATAATTAAAATACAAACTGTTTGATAGTTGACTATAATGTGAAGGTGGTGGACTTTGGCTAAAGGGCTTCCCTTAATTTCATCCACCCCATGGCAAGTTTTCTGAACTGTGAGTGTGTGTTCCTGTCCTTTTCAGGTGCATGTAGATTTAAGAGGTAAAATCACCATTTGATATGAGGGAATTTCCCAACTTCACTGCTTGCTTCCCTTTGAGGAAAGCCCAAAGTTGAGAAGTATCAGCTAGAGGTCAGTTTAAGAGATAGGTAGAAGGAAGAACCAGTCTCAGGGACTGTGGTGGTTTCATAGAACCTGGTCTGGCTAGGATCTGATGGAGTGGTTGTGGCATTTATGGGGACGTCAAGTTTACTGAATACTGAGCATTGATTTGGCAGGTTACCTTGTCTTATTTGCTGTGGGACAGGTCAGTGGTATTTGATCCTTCAGAAGAACCTCCCCCAGTATAAATTTTAAGCTGTGTGGCCCTCCATTAATTTTTTGGGGGGGGCGGGGGGAGGGTGGAAGTGGTCATTAAGCCTTTCAGTATAAATAATATTTATCACCCTCAACTACATACCTTATACAAGTAGGGAGAGTGTCAACTTTTTCTCTCATAGATACCAGCTGTCTTCCTAGTACTTAAGTCTTTTGTTAAAGTATAGAAAATAAGTGCCAAGAAAAATAAGATGAAAATTTCAATGCAAATATGAATAGAATTAAAGATTAATATTTAGTCATCTCTTAACGTCTATCTTCTTTATCCATAAGCAATAAGTGTGATGACTTTTAAGGATGGAGGAGTTGTCCGCTAAACTGGTTATTCTTGTCATGAGCAGAAACAAAGTGTTCCATGCTTTGATTAATAAGGAGGGCACTGTAACAATATAGAAATGGAGTTGCTTACTTCTGATTGATCATATCTGTGTTTGATAACGTGTGTGTCAAAGTCCTGAGCTTATGTTGAAGTGCTCAGTTACAAAGATGGTAAGAATTTGGCGAGTGAATTGATTCTGAAAGGAATAAATAGGTGGACTGTGGTCTATTAAGACTCTTTCTTTTATTGTCCTATTTTCCCTTTGGCATTTTCCCTTTGGCAAATTTCCCTTTCCTTGTATTTATTCTATACGAATGTGCTTGCTGTCATTACCTTCAGATCCTAGCCACATGTACCACCCAGTCATCAATGGAAAGGCCAGAACCCTGGGAGAAAGTTGTGGGGATAGAAACAGGTCTATTACTGATTTAATTAGCTGCGTCAGAATTCAGAAGAAAATTATTCCAGAGTTATATAGATCTTTTTCTGCTGGAACATTTTTCCTTTACCGTTTTCTGTAATTTTTACTTACTAAGAAATTTTTAGACAATATCAGAATAATTATAATTTACAATATAGGTGATGCAGTTTGAAGCTAAGCAGTTAAACTCATACTGAGCTATGTTTTATTCCATAATCTTGATCATTCTGTCTCTAGGTTTTCTAGTTTAGTTATGAAAGTAATTTTTTTATCTATGTAAGATTGAATAGCATATTTTAATAGATAGTTTATGGCAATGTAAAAACATTTAAAAGCCACAGTGTTCACTGTGGACAAAAGAGTTAAGAACTAAGTTTAGACTCCAGGTGTCTAACAGTGCCTCATTTTCAAAAAGGCATGTTTTTCCTGGGGGAAGGGTGTAGAAAGATAAAATATTTATTATGTTAGCCATCAGTCATCCAATATGAATTTAAAAGAAGAAAGTCAGACTGAAGGGAAATTGAAAGTAAGCCTTAGTGGAGTGATTCTGCAACATCTGAAAACAATGAGAGTAGTGTGCTGTGGACACCTGGGACTATATTCCATAGGTCCTTCAGCATTACGTTTTATTACACATGATAGACTTGATTAGAATGTAATCCTGAAATTTGAAGTGTTAGCATTCAGCTTTCTTGGCTAATATAAAATAGACTTAAGCATAGTTAATAGGAACAATATCATAAGCTTGGAACATAATTTTCTGTGTTTCATTTTATAGGGGTTTGGGGGAAAACTTACTGTGTAACATGTACTGTATTAGTTAGTATATGGTTAAAATGCAAGTGGCAGAAAACCTAAAAATAGCTTATTATATGAGATGGAGGTTTTTTGGTTTTGCTTTTATTTTTAATCTCTCATAGTTTTGGAGGTGGTCTGGGGCTCCAGTGGCAGCTCAACAGTCATTAAAGACTCAGGCTGTTTTTATCTTTCTTTCCAATTCTCAACTTGTTTCTGTCTTACATGTAAAACAGCAGCTCCAGCTCTAGCTATCACATCCACATTCCAACTAAGATGAAAGAACCAGAATCCTATTTTTTCTGAATATGTTCTTTTTTCTCTCAATTCTCTCTCTTTTTTCTTTTAAAGAAAATCCTCCTGTTCTTGTTTTATGGATGCAGTATCATATAGTCTCTCTATGGTGGTATTATTATTATATTTTTTAAAGTTTTCTTCTTCCTTTTCTGTGTTTCCTTCCTTCCTCCCCCCTTCCTTTTTCCCCCCTTCCTTCCTTCCCCCTTCCTTCCTTCCTCCCTCCCTCCCTCTCTTCCTCTCTTCCTTCCTTCTTTCCCCTTCTTTCCTCCTTCCTTCTTTTCTCTTTTTCCCTTTTCTTTTCTTAAATGTATTCTTCTCTCTCTCCTTTTCTTCCTCCCTCCTTCCTCCCTTTCTTCCTCTCCTTCCTTCCTTCCTTTCTTTGTGTCAGTCTACAGTATTTTAGGCTTTCCTTGGCTAGCTGTCGATATTTAAGAGTGCTAATTGGAAGGGGTGTGTGTGTGTGTGTGTGTGTGTGTGTGAGAGAGAGAGAGAGAGAGAGAGAGAGAGGGAGAATGGGTAGCAGGGCAGTAGTAGGGGCCTTATTACCTGGAGAGGTGAACAGAGCAGGATCTATTTTGATGGGGAACCACCAGATACTCTCCTGGAGTGTTGTCTTCTGTGATGATAGAGGCAGTCCAGTTGCTTGGGCCTATGGAGAGGGCATCTGATAGACTACCTATTCCTTACATAAACTTTCAACTAATCCTTCTGTTTTTAGCCCCACCATACACATCCTCCTGGTTACCTGGTAGCTGGTACCTCTGGTTACTGAATCTTTCTGGAGTAGTGCTATGCATTCATTGGTTTGCTTCTCACTGCCTTTCTCCCCCACCATCCACCCCTTCTGCAGCCCTAGGTTTCAGCTTTCTCTGATCTGCTAAGTTCAGCTGCAACACGTCCATAGCCTTTCCAGCTTCCAAAATTTTGTTAAAATTTCTTGTCCATTGATACCTTCTGTTGTATTCTCATTATTATTGTGAATTTATACCTTTTAAAGTTCTTTACTGTCATTTTAGTTGAGTTTGGGAAAAGAACAGAGATGAACGTGTTCAGTCTGCCAGGTTTAATGAGAAGGGAAATTATTACAGGATATAAATATATGTTAGCGTTTCATAAGTGTTGGTGTTTGCTGTCTCTTATATTGTTAACATTGAAAATTATGTAAAAAATTAGCTTTCTAATCTGCAAGAAGTTTACAGTCCAGTTAAGGAAATAAGCTAGGATATGATGGGGCAACATATAATTAGGTGTGAAAATGAGTGTTCAGGACTGTTCAGGCAGCATGAAGCCTGAACTGTGTGGTACAAAATCAGATATAAGCAGTCTTATTGATTTGTTATGTATTGATTTGGTTTCATTTATTTGTTTTCTTAACTTGTGGTTACAGCAAAAACCTTTCCCATTTCTCTTTTTAGTCTGACAATGTTTATTTCACTCTTACAATCACATTTTCCCCCTCATAATTTTTTTCTGATAGACTCCTGATTCAGTTTGCTTTCTCCTGTGTTATAGGATAGGAAAGCCTCAGCACAGGTGGTGAACTCCTCTCCAACTGTTTGGAATAATAGCCTTTAATAATGTAACCTAATTTAGGTTTAACATTGTGTAGCAAGCATAGAAAGTCTGACCTATTTTATTCCTTATTTTTCTTAGAATTTTATTATTTTAAGACATAAGATCATCTATTCAATCTTCATCCAAGACACTAATCTCTTCTACAACTTACTTGACAAGTGAGCAAATAATAATAATAGTAAAGATAGTAGCTGTTGTGTTTATTTGTTGAGTGCTCTGTAAGGTTTTTATATATATCATATCATTTAATCCTCAGAACACCCCTATAGGTAACCCTTATTTTTGTCTTCCTTTTTTAGGTGGGGAAGCAGACTTGGAGTGGTTAAATTACTTTCTTGAGATCACTATGCTGCTAAATATATTAATCTTCTAATGTTGTGCTTGAAACATAGTGTGTTCTAAGTTTGTTCTTACTCTTTCTTGGTTTTCATTTTCCTCTTAGTCATGTTTGTTGCGGACAGTTCTATTTTATGATGATTTTCCTCAATGAAGAAGGAAGATGTAAAAAAAAAAATAGAGTTGAATACTTTGGCTTTCCTACATCTATTAGCAACATCCACTCCATTTGTTCACCTTTCAAACTTTGTTTTTTTGTTCAGATCCCAACTTAGTAATGTTCTATGGAACATGCCCTGGTTGATTCCATCCTGGGTCAGATATAAATGCACCATCCTCACACAGCACTCTGCAGTAGACCTTAAGGTTCACCACCCCATGATTGATCTTTAGAGAGTTGTAAAGGTAACATTAAAATCTTTCTCATAGAGTTATTCTGAGGATTGAGATATTATGTTAAGAACCCTTGAATGCAAGGTT